ACACACAGGCACACACACAGGCACAGACAGACACACGCACGCACACACAGGCACACACACACAGGCACACAGGCACCCACAGGCACCCACACAGGCACAGGCACACACACGCACGCACGCACAGGCACACACACAGGCACAGGCACACACACGCACAGGCACACACACACACGCACACACACACAGGCACAGGCACACACACACAGGCACACACACACACACACACACGCACAGGCACACACACACACGCACGCACAGGCACACACACACAGGCACACAGGCACCCACAGGCACCCACACAGGCACAGACACACACACACACACGCACACACACACACACACATGCACAGACACACGCACAGTGCGCCCACCTGCCACATGCTTGGCCCTGCGGCCCACGTCCTCGTCGGTGGGCGTGGTGACGGGGCTCAGCACCTCCTCCAGGTGAGGCCCCCGCAGGTGGGCGTGGGGGCGCTTCCTCCGCCGCACGGCCGGGGCTTTGCTGGCCTTCTCTTTGGGAGACTGCCTGTGCGTCTCAGCCAGGTAGCTGCTCTCCATCTTGGTCAGCTCGCTCTCTGCCGGACGGAGCCAGACCCGTCAGCGGCTCCCTGCCCGCTGCCCCACCCCCTGCCTCTCCCCCCGCACCGCCCTCCCCTCCGCCTCGGAAGCCCCCATCTGCCCCCAGCAAGGCCTCCCTCAGGAAAGCATCTTGGGGGGGGCGTGGACAGGGAGGGCCTGCGGGGACCCAGCCCAGCCCAAGCCCTCTGGGTCGGCCATCGTTGTGTGGCGACGGGCTCCGGCCACCTGCACGCTCAGTGCACCGCTGAGGGCATCGCGCTTCCCTACGGTGCCTCCACAGCGTTTCCCGCGACCACACTCATCCCTGCGACGGCCTCGGGCTCCCAGCGGGGTCACAGGTCCCGGGACACGGCCCAGAGCAGGCGGGCTCTGGAACAGGCACGTGCTCACACCCGAGCCACACCTGTGTGCGCTTCCGGGCAGGCTTAGGGCCCGTGACCCTCCACTGTCCCCGCCGCTCCCATTCTCCACGTCTCCCTCCCTGAACGTGCCCGCCGCCCGGGTCCCCGGGCCGCTCACCCAGGTGGCGGAAGTAGTCCTCCAGGCCGCTCCAGAAGTTCTTCTCGATGAACGTCTTCACCAGCCCCCAGGGCTGCTTGCGGTAGCGCAGCTCAGTGGAGACCCTGCGACAAGCCAGACCGAGGTCAGCGCTGCCCGGGAAGGTCAGCCCGGGCCCAGGTCCGGGGCGGTTCCACACGCATCACCCCCACGGCCACCCTCCGAGGTCAGTGGCGCCAGGGCTGTGGCCTCGCTTTTAGGAGGAACCTCCCTGAGCCTCAGATATTCACGCAGACGAAGGCTACCGAGGCTCCAAAGCCGGGCCCAGAGGGATCTCATGCTGCCACTGCCTCCGGGGGCGCCCGAGGGTGTCCGGCAGCCGCCAGCTGTGGCCGCCTCTTCTCCACCGGGCTCTGGGCTTCATCGCTTCTCCCTGGAGGAGCACCAGCCTGGCTGCGGCCGCCCCTCCCGCCTCGTGTCCCCAGGCAGCAGGGCCTGTGCCTCTCCCCAGCTCATCCTCATCTGCCCAGACTTCCTTCCAGCGTGTGTCCCTGCTCCAGGCTGACTGCCTGCCTGTCTCCTCCCTCTGGGACGCCAGCCGCGCCTGGGACGCCAGCCGCGCCTGAGCCTGCGGTGAGCTGCTCGTGCAGCCATCGCCGCCCGCCCACCACCTGCTCACTGGGGGGCCCCTCTGGAATGTTGTATCTGGGGAACAAGCTACCGCGGCGAGAAGTGCACAGAAAGAACAGCCATGCAGAAGCTCCTCCAAGGAGGCGGGCGTGGAGAACCCAGACACTGTGGGGAGGAGAGCGAAGGGAGGAGGAGGGAGAGGAGGGAGGGAGGTGGCAAGAGGAGCAGATGCCGAGAGCTGCACAGACAGCAAAACAAACATCTTGTCAGAAGGCGATGAGCAGGTGCAGCCCTTTGTCGGGTGTGGTGTTCAGATCGTCCTGGTTCCAGGCATCTCTCTGAGCAGCGATTTTATTCGAACGACACGAGTGAGTTCCCCTCCGTGCAACCAAAGGAACGTGGCCCGAGATCAGGTCTGTAACCACCACTGTGGGGGGTCTGGGGGATGTCTAGCCAGTTAACGGCCACGCGTCTAAACGGAAACCATGATACTGGAGTTTCTCCCACATGCGCTGGAATATTTGTGAATTTAAGTTACCACCGTCTTCTTTACAAACCCGGAGGTGTCACCAGCAAGTCTGACTTTAACACTGGGCGACCAGCGTTAACATGCGAGGTTTGTGGCTACAGACGCCCGGCGCGTGGGGAAGGCCCGCCGCGTACAAAGGGCCAGACTTTCCAGGGTACGGCTTCTTCAGATTTCAGGGTCCCAGCTCCTTCCTCCTCGAATGCACATCCCAGTGCCCGGACCGGTCCTGCCCGGCGGCGTGTGCATACTAAGGGGCTGGGCCCTGAGCCGAGGGCTGGGGACAGGGGCCCCGGGGCTGGCCCTGAGCCGGGCTCGCCGTGCCAGGGCGTGCGTGGCAGGTGGCGCCGCCGGTGGAAGGGGCCAGGGCTGGTTCCTAGACCTGGTCTCAGGCTCACGGGGAATCTGACTCTTGGCAAAGCTACTCCACTTACAAACCTTGTTTTTAGTCTGAAAAGTGAGAATAAGTCCACCTCCTTCGGTCATTCTAAAGAATGCACCTTCCAGACACACTTTAAACCACAGACCACAAGCAGCAGCAGCAGCAGACACTGCACTACAGACACGCAGAGCGCAGCGAGCAGGCGCGGTGAGAACAGCCGTCAGGAAGAGGGTCTGAGAGGGACTGGAAAGAAGGTGGAGAAGGGACGGCCAGCAGGCCCATCTCCCACCGCCTCCTCCTCCTTCCTCGGGAGAGATGCATGTTCCCCGCGTAAGGACCTCACGAGCCCTTCCGGACCGTTCCTGCGAGCCCCGGCGAGCGCACCTGAGCCGGCTCTTGCTGCGGGCCACGCGCGTGAGTGTGTAGCGGTTGACGGTGTAGAAGTAGTCGTGGTAGGGCACGTCGTGGGTCAGGACCTCGGCGTCCACCACGTAGCACTCGCTCTCCTGGCTCGCCTTGTACATGGTCTGCGGGGAGGAAGCGTGGACATGCTGCCGAGGAGCAGCGCGGGGAAGGGGCCCCTGCCCGAGTCGCCCCACCCGACCCCCGTGTCTCAAAAGAGGACCCGGCGCCGCTGGGAATGGCGGCATCTAAGCACGCGACGGGCTGCGTGTCCAGGAGAAGCACCTGCACCCGAAACTCCCGCACACCTGGCTGCACCTTCCCCGCAGGACAGAGGCCGCCAGCCGCCCCCTGCTCCCGCCTCACCTGTGTCTCCCTGACGGTGGCCGTTTTGGGAGCCAGAGGGTTGGTGAGGTTGATGGTGTAAAGGATCAGGCGGCTCTGGTCCCCGTTCTCCTCCTTCTTCCAGGGGTGGAAGACGATATCTGAGGGGGCGAGAGCCCTGCAGTGAGGAGGGCGAGAGGTGCCTCCCCAGCGACTTTCCCTCCAGGGAACTTCTGCTGACCCAGCTGAGCCACTGGCCTCCTAGGAAGCCAAGGGAGCCCGAGGGCAGAGAGAGGCTGGGGGAGGGGGAGTTCCGCAGAAAGAGGCTCATTGTGGCACCGCAGGCTCTGCCCAGGCTGCGCACACTGACTGTTCCCGGACGGGGCAGGAGGTCCTGGGGCCGCCCACAGGGACGCTGGCAACACTGGCGGGACTGTGACGAGGGCCTGGGACCCTGGGAACAAGCCCCTCCTCTGAGCCATGTCCTCCATACCCTCCCCTCCCGGCAGCAGGCGGCGCGAGGCCCAGCTGCTCTCTCAGACGCGGTGCCTCGCTGGGCCAGGACGGGGCGCAGGGAGGAGACAGGAGCAGGGAGGCATAAGGCATGGCCTCGGGACTCCTAGGTTCGAAGCCTGGCTCAGCCCCTTCTTAGCCGCATGGCCTTGGGCGAGGTCATAACAGCCCGAGTCCCAGTGTCCTCGAGGGCACGTGGGGTCACCATCCTCGCACACGGGGCAGGCGTGAGGATTAGACGGTAGCGCACGGTGCCTGGCACACAGCAGGCGCCTAACCAGCGAGTGGCAGCTGCTGCTCTTGACGAGACGGTGCCCTGCACGGCCTGGACCTCTGCGAGCCCTTGGCCCGGCACCCGGTGGGCGAGCCCGCGCTGCAGCCCCGGGGCGGGAGGAGCAGAGCCCTGCGGGAGCGTGGCCTGGGAGGAGGTGCTTGGAAGAGAGGACAGAGGGTGGTGGCGGGAGGGCAGTGCCAGCCCGGCCCGGGAGGAGCACCTGAGAAGCGCCGCTGCTCCATGAAGTCGCGCTGGAAGGGCGAGTCGGTGAACAGGAGGTGGTAGAGCTTGTCCACGCTGAAGTTGAAGATCTCATTCACGTACTGCCGGCCGCTCAGGTCCTCGTAGAAGGCCTGGACCTCCCCTGAGAGAGGACGGCAGTGACTGTGAGGCGGGCCCGGGGGACACAGAGCCATGTCCGGGGGCTGCTGCGGGCGCGGCCACCGCGGGGCGAGGAGCCGTGGAGTGGGCGCTGACTCCTCCGTCCCTGGCACGCACACCGCTCCTCCGATGCCAGTCCCTGCACTCAGCCCTCACAGAGAGTTCGGGAATGTGCCGTCTGCTTTTACACGTTCACGCTCCCTCATGAAGGTAGCTCCCTCAGACTAAGATCTACACACACGGCTACTTCCCGGGCTCGCTGGGACCCGGAGGACCAGCCATCGCGTCTACACGCCGGCGACTGGCACTGCCCACAGAGGTGTGCTCAGAGACGCTGACTCGCTGCAGTCATCGGTTTGTGTAAGTTTCTGAGGCGGCTCTGCAGGCCATGATCGCTAGGGCTCCTCTCCTTCCATAAGGAGCCAAGTCTCCACGATTCCAACAGCTTTTACATTTATTTACTTATTTATTTTTAAGGGAGGAAGGGAGAGGGAGAGATGGAAACATCAATGATGAGAGAGAATCATTGATCTGCTGCCTCCGGTCCCTCCTCCCCCACTGGGGATCGAGCCTGCAACCTGGGCCTGTGCCCCACCCGGGAATCGAACTGTGACCTCCTGGTCGATAGGCTGACGCTCAGCCACTGAGCCCTGGCAGGCGGGCAGTAACTTCTAAATGTCTGGAGTTTCCGTCTGCGCCAGGAGAATGTGGCTGAGGGTACAGGTGAGCGGCTGAAGCCCCCGTGCTCCCCCTGAGGCCTGGGTGCCCGCAGCCGATGACTGCGCCTGCGGGGCTGCTGTAGGGTCTCAAGCGCCCGAGACCCTGAGGGGCCAGGGCGGAGCTCAGGGGCATCCTACAGGGTCTGTGCCCAGGACTGTATGGGAGAGAACGTTGACTTGTCAGTTTGCACAAATGGCACCCCGTCAGGATGCAGGAGCAACCTGCACAGGCATTCGCCAGGCCTGCCCCCTGGATGGGGGTGGGGAAACCAAGCACAGGTGAGGAGGCCACGGGAGGGGAGGGGCGGGGGGTGACCCCGGGAGAGACCACAGCGATGAATGCGCACTGCCTCCATCCGCTCACCAGGTCAGCACCGGCCCCTCCTCCATGGAGGCACACACACCACCAACCAAGCCCACGAACACTGCGTCTGGCTCCGCCCGGACCAAGCAGCAGCACGTTCCGAGTGAGGCCAGAAGCAGCGGGAGGAAGTGAGGGCTGTTCTCTGAGAACCTTGGAGAAGGGCAGGGTCCGGTTCTCAGATCCCGGCTGCAGGCACTATAGCCAGTTTCTATCACAGCTACTGCCTTCCAGGTGGAGCGCGGGCCGCGGCCGCAGACACTGCCCGCCCCTGGGAGGGACGGCGCTCAGGGCCAGCCAGCGCCAACGTGGGAGGGGGGTAAAGTGAGTGACAGGCCTGGGGAGCAGGACAAGGAACTCATCTGTTGAGCAAAGGAAGACAAAGTTGGAACGATGACGTTCCTGCAAGCAAGGCCCTGAGAGGGGTCCACGCGGGTAACCAGAGAACCTTTAAAACGGCTCTGCTGCCCACCAGCCTTCCGCCAGGAGCCGCCGACTCGGCCTCCACCTGGGGCACCTTCCCCGCCCTCAGCACCAGCCTCCACCTGGGGCACCTTCCCCGCCCTCAGCACGGAGGAGGAAGGCCCCCGCACCCCGCACCCCCCCCCCCCGCCCACCTTCGTCGTGGGTGTCGGAGGAGTCGCTGAGCTCGGTGGGGAGGTCCTCGTTGTCGTTGAAGTCCAGCGAAGGGGAGCTCACCGGCGCCAGGATCTCCATCTTCTCGGCCACGATGCTGTCCATGGCCAGCTCCTTCTCCAGGGGCCCCTCGCCGTCCAGCGCCTCCTCCTCCAGGGGCAGCCCATCAAACTGGATGGAGACAGAGAGTCACCCAACGGGGAGCTGGGGCCGGCTCGGCGCCCTCCCGTTCACAGCAGCAGCCAGCAGGCATCTGGCCCTGGGTTGTCCCCCGCGTGGCGGCCAGGACCCGGGCAAGTTCTGCCCCCGCTGGCCACCAAAGGGCACAGCAAGCCGGGAGGGCAGAGTGGCTCCTTCTGCCACAGGCCCCCGGAGCGGAGCGCGGCCGCTGCGACAGGACAGCCTGCTTCTCCCTGGGGCCTGTTTTCTAAGAGGCTCAAAGGCTCCATAAGCATCTTTTAAAATCCTTGTTCAAGGGGTGAGGATATTTTTCCCATTGTTTTTTTTTTTTTTTCAGAGAGAGTAGAGGGCGAGGGGAGGGAGAGAGAAACTTCGATGTGAGAGAGACACATCGGCTGGTTGCCTCCCACACACTCCCCAACAGAGGACGGGCCTCGAACCCACGACCCCCTGAGGTGCAGCCAACGCTCTAACCACTGAGAAAACTGACCAGGGCTTCGTAGCATTTTCTATTCATCTTCCCACTAGCCCTGGGCGGGAACAGACACAGCCCCAGAGAGGAAACTGGAGACTCGGCAGGAAAGGAATGAGGCTCTCGCCCTAAGGCCAGGAGGCCTACACCGCTGCGCACACGGCTCCTGTCCTGGGACACTTTCCCGAGGACCCGCCATTCCACCTGGCAGCTCCCCAGACCCTTCCTCCATCGAGCTCCTCTCTCCTCTGGCCAAGCCCAGGGACAGAGGGAGGTCCCTCTTACACATTTTTGTCTCTTTCACCAAGTCCAACAGTGAGAAAATAAAGCAGAGTGTGCACACTAGGGACTCAAAATTATTCTCTACTGAGTCAACCAATAAGCAGACAACAGTCCTATCCTATATAATAAAGAGGTAATACGCAAATTAACCCCCACGCCCTCACAAGATGGCTGTCTACGACCAGGCCGGCAGGGGGGCTAGTGAGGGAGGACGAAACGACTGACCAGCAGGCTGTGTGGGGCGACTAGGTCGGCGGGGGCGGGCTGTGAGGGGCAACCAGGCTGGTAGGGGGGGCAGTTGGGGGTGACCAGGTCAGCAGGGGGGGCAGTTGGGGGTGACCAGGCTAGCAGGGGGGGCAGTAAGTGGTGACCAGGCAGGCGGGGGGGGGGACAGTTAGGGGCAACCTGGCCAGCAGCAGGGGCAGTTAGGGGCGATCAAGCTGGCAAGGGGGGGCAGTTAGGGGCAACCAGGCAGGTGAGCAATTAGGAGCCAGCGGTCCAGGATAGTGAGAGGGCAGTCGGACATCCCCCGAAGGGTCCCGGATTGGAGAGGGTGCAGGCTGGGCTGAGGGGACTCCCCCCACAACCGTACACAAATTTTGTGCACTGGGCCACTAGTAGTTTTATATTCACATACAACTTCGCCTTCAGATCAAGGCGGTAAAAGCAAGACCGGCACAGCTCTCCCCCAGAGGGGCTGAGCCAGGCGTCCGCGGAGAGCAAAGCGCACCCAGTGAACTTGGATGGTTTTCGTCTGCTCAGAAGCCAAACAAAATCGTCGCCTGAGACACCGAGAACCCAGCACCAGTGCCGGCCACCCCGTCACCGTGGAGCAAGCCCGTCTCTCCAGGGGGCCTCCTTGCATGGCTGGCTGCAGTGCAGCCCCTGCCCTCTGCCCACTCCCCAGGCCCCTGCCCCTGCACTAGCGCGGCGAGGACCGCGGGCCCTGGAGGGGGAGCAGCGGGCTCACCGTACCGAGACGGGGGCTTCGCTGCTCGCGGTGGACGTCAGCGTGCTGTTGGTGACCGACTTCTTGGGCAGCTGTGGACTGGCATCCGGCTTCGTCTCTATGCTGCTTTTGGACGAGCTGTCATTCACTTCATTCTCTTCGACAGGGATCTCCTCGCAGTAGCTGAAAAAGGCACCACGGGCCACGCTAACCTCAGGGACGAAGCTATTCTAAGAACCCGACCCACCCACCCATCCAAAACAGTGGCTTTCCTGCGTCTCTGCTCTGCACCTGATCCTCCTCCAACTACCCCCGCCCCCCTAAGACCCTCCTAAAACCTCCTTCCTGCCTTAGACCCCCAACGCCAAGTAAACTTTCTGGCTCCAAACTCACCTTTTCTATGCTCCCTCCA